ACCCAGGGGACCGAGCTCTGGGGACAGGCGTCTCTTGATCGGCTCCGGTCGTTCCGTCCCTCTCGCTCCGATCACTCGTTGCCGCGCGCCACGAATTTTCGTCAGCCGGGCTCTGCGCTTCGTCGGACGGAGACTGCGCTCCGAAACCGAAACAAAGAACGACGCTCCCGAGCGAGGCGCCCCTGGCGGTCGCTCCGCCAATCCGCCGGACGCGCCGCCGTCTCGTATTCTCGTCCAGCGAGCGTAGAAGCGAATAGAACCTTCACGGCTCTCCTTACCGCATGTCGCGCAACGATATAAATCCAATAATAAATAATACAGAGTACCTCTTGATCGAGAAACGCGAGACGAGGCAGTTTTCCGTTGCTGTACGATTAATCGCGAAAACATTTAGATGATCCATCTCATATGCAGCATTGCAGATCCGAGATCGAAAACGCGATCGATAGAATTGTATGTTTAAAAAATATCCAAAAATAAACTTACTGATTTTTTTATTTCTTTATCCCAACACCTTGTAAGTCTATTTTGTATTCAAGAAACACAACGGACAAAAAGAATAACGATGAGAATTGCTCCATATATTTTTGCACCTCCATAAATAAATCGAGAGCGTATTTATAGATTGGAGATGTAAAAGAAGATATAAATGCGTAGCTCAAAAGGTCTTTTAAAATTTTCAATACCTTCTTCTTTTGTTTGATATTACTTTTCACAGTGAATTATGGAATAGAATGATGAAAGATAAACTGTTGGTAAACATTTGATACAATGACATATTTAAATGGTACAATAGCTATTAATAAACAATAATATATCATTAACATGTAAATATACTTCAATTAATTTCTATTGCACACAAATAATTTACGTGCAGATTATTTCAATTTTGATTAAAATTTTTTAAAAAGTAAAAATTAAACGAATTTATATGATAAAACATTTTTTCTAAAAAATGTACCGTCTAAATAAAAAGTCAAACGTTATTGATCAATTAATACCGCTTTTATATTCCATTAAAGTATTAATTGTTACTAATATAAATTTTATAGAAGTCCATCAATAGTTTATCTTAAACTGCATTAAATTCAATGGAAATCTGTAAAACATCGATGCAGTCTTCACTTCCTATTCTGAATTGTATATAATTTTTCACACATTTACAACGATGACGTAATTCTCGTTGCAAATTTATATTTCAGACGAAGCAAAATATAATTCGATATGGTAAATAGAATATGAGACATGTAATATCAGGAATGATGGAGGATTTATTCATAAGCTAAGTGATTCGCTTTCCTCGCATTATTCAACAGAAAAGAAACGTAAACGCATTCAGATTGGGAGCCAATATTGCTGTCGAAGTCTGACATTGTTTTATATTACGAAGATAATTATTTCAATTATAAGTAATTTTTTAACATAATAGCTTGATACCGAGGTAAATGTAACAATGTAATATTTTTTAACTGCTCATTACTTTCAATGTTTTAATAATCATTGAAATGCATTATTTTTAAAAAATTTCATAATTACTTTAGTTATTGAAAAATACTGCAGTATCATATACGAGATTATATACGATGACTATTAGTTAATCTAATTGACCCGTAACATATTCGTGTCAATAATATTAAATATAACATGATTGAATACGATTGATGTCAAATAGAGTAATATGTTCTCTGACAAATTTGTTAATTAAACAACTGGACCTTTTACTCAATTTTTCATGAATATCTCAAATAATAATGCTGAATTTAATCGCTGATTGAAATTCTATTTTATTAATGTTAAGTAAAGACAAATCACTATGCTACAATAAAATGAATTTGAAATTATCATGTAATTTTATATTTTGTTGACGAGAGATCATAATAGCTAATATACATAATCATAAATATTTTGATATTCGATACTGAAATTTGTTAATCCACATGTGAACGTATAAACAATGTAAAATAAAATGAAATAATTAAACATACAATGCTGTGCTACACTTGATATTAATTATTTATGATCTAATGAATAAAGTAAAAAAAATTGTCGCGATATTTTTCAATATATCTTCTATTTTCATTACAAATTTGAAATACAAACAACAAAGGTCATTAAAAATGATAAAATAAAAATTCATTTATATCTGTCAGAGTCTTAACCCTGACACAGTTTTAGCAAAGCCTACAGTATTTAAGTCTATAGTACAAGGTTCGTTTATTAAATGAAATTGTTGAATTGAACTCCTTCAATCGAAAGATATAACGTATTTAGATTAATTATGTATAAAATTTTTATGTAGTCATAAGACGTTATAATTTCATATTAATTAGATAATTCTTAACGAAATTGTATGTTGATTTCGGATCTTCAATTATTCATAATCTATGTTAGATATTAATTATAAACAACAGAAGTTTTTTTAAATATTCTTCTGTTTAATTATAATTAAATGTTGCGTATATTATTTTTTGCATGAAGCAAGAAGTTGATTGTATTTTTCTTTATTGCGCGTTATGCGGTTTTGTGTATAATAATCAATAGGTTTCAATGCAATTTTTTATTATATGGAAAAACTTACCTGTCCATTCCTGAATTGTTGTTGCTGCTGCTGTTGGTGATGAAAGAGAGCAACTTGTTGTTGAGCAGTCATCTGATTATTTAGATAGACCAAATGTTCTGCACCAGGCGCACCACTCTAAAAAGTAAATGTAAAAGATTTGTATGAGTGTATAGAAAAATATTTATAATCATTTAGAATAACTTTACAATCATGTATAAAATATAATCGTTGATATTTATTACTTACTTTTAATTGCATAGGATGTATCTCATAAGGTACATTACTCAAATGTACATTGTTCATAGTCAATCCCAGTTGTTGAGATTGACTTTGTTGAGGTACACTAAGCTTAGTCATAGAATATTTCCATTTTTCTTGATTCTGTAAAATAAATTATTTTAATTGTATAATTTACTGTATTATCATATCACTGCCTCAACGCAATATATATGTACAAATTACAATTGTATTTAACACTAAATGCATAGGTTTCATTGTCTTCTTTAGATATACGCTTGAGATATATGAAACAATATAAACATATTTGGGGTGCTAAATAACTTAGAATAATATAAAAGTTGCATGTCATTAAAAATGTTTCACAGACTTTGTATCAAAAAATGGAATATATTACCAAACTTAACATCCCGAATATAGAAGATTCTTAGAAAAATTCATATAAAGTTTTCTTAGAAAATTCTTATATAATGTCGTAAATATAGAGATAGCCCAAGTCCAGAAATAATATTCCACTTTGATAAAAACAAAATCTACAAAACATATAAATTTTGAATTAGGAAATAAATCGCAATATCGCATTATCTTTTGAAGAATAGAAACCTTTAAACAATAACAATAATTTTAAAAATAAACTTTGAAAATAAAGATGAACAAAGAGCTGAATTCTTTTAAAAGTTGTAATTATAATAAAATCAGTTTGTAAGTTCTGATTCTACATGTAATTTAACAAACTGAAGACTACATGTAATGAAACAAACAAGTACATATTTTTATTTTAAAATTATAATGAAAATTATCATGATATCATATTAAACTGATGTGTATTTTGTCATACATACATTATCAACAATAACGTCATCCGCCAATGCCCAAGCTCTTGGAGCTTGCTTTGCTTGGAAAGTCGAAGATTGGGTGTTAAATTCTGGTTCTGTAGGTCGTTGAAACACATAACCAACCATAGCGTCGTCTTGAGTTCTACTCACTCCAATTTGATGAGTCTGACCAGGTTGGATTCGCATATTATCGCCACCAGCCATAACTTGCCCACACTGTTCCGTATCCTAATAAGTCATACATATCAATGTGATCAGTGATGATCATGGCACATTTTTGAAATTTAAAAATATAACATACAACTATAATCTTAAACTTCATATTAGTGATTGTCTCAGCAAAATTTGGTTACTTTTGTATTTTTATATATAACTTGTTAATTATTAAATGTTACATTTAAAAAAAATTTAAATTAAAGCCACGTCAAACGTCATTGCAATTATACTTGGATCTTTACTTTATTCAACCAAATTTGATTAATCAAGATTTAGGGTCTGTTTTCTGTGACTAAACTAGTGTACACTTTTGGAACTTAAAGTGAGACAAATATATGTTTCATATTTGGTAAAAGCAAAAAAAAATCCTAGTGCAAGAATAAAAAAACAGATCTTTAGCTTGTTAACTTAATTCCTCTGTTTTTCAATTGTTTACAACTTAAAAGTTATTAATAGCTAAACATATATTAAAACAAACAATTTTTCCCCATTCTTGTCTCTAGAATTTCTAGTTCGGAGAAGATATCAGATACATTATTTTCATACGATCTTTACACCTTGTATTTGAGCCACTCGGCACATTCCTCTCGCGCATCGTACAGGACCGAATCAACATTCCTATCGATACTTTAACACTCATGCTGACATTAGCAAATGCTCATATTCTCAGCAGGGCTACTTGTCGAGGTTATGGCGTCTCGTGCGCCGCAATTGTAGTCACATTCGATTCGTGATCGGCGTATTCTCCTATCGAGGAAGCCGATCGCGAATGGCGAGGAGACAAATGATAAAGAAAAAAAAAAGAGAGAGAAAGAGAAAATAAACGGAGGTTGTACCGTGGGTATGTGGCCGTTGGCGGAGGTGTGATGCAGCTGCATGGAGGATGCCGGTTCGCCTCCGGCGCCTCCGCTGCTCGCGCCGAGCCACTTCATGTCCTCGTGGTGTCAGGCCGCGCCGCTGTCCCCGGGCACGGCGAAGGCGGTACGGCCAAACGTGCTGGAGGGGAAGGTGCACCCTCGGCCTCTGTAAAGGTTAGCTCTCGCACGGAGAGAGCCGGCGGCGTCTGGCGAGATGCCGTAGAGGTTGCCGCTTGCTACGGCCGTTGCGCGAACATGATCTGTAGACGCGTGGTTGTTAACGGCGGCACATCCTCACCAACCCTTTCCACGACGACGACGTGACGGTGACGAAGCGGCTGCGGTTGAGACTCGAGATTGCCGTTGCGGTTGCGACAGCGGCGACGACAGCGGCAGCGGCGGCGGCGGCGGTGACGGTGGCGGCGGTGGTGGTAGCGGCAGCGGCGACGATGACGGCGATGATGACGAACGGCACGCTGATATCAGCCCGAGAGAGATCGTAGGAGCGTATTTACCGAGCTGCGAGCGTAAACCAGACAGTTACAGCAATGGCAGCTGCGTGCACCTCCGGCGCGCTGCTGCCGGATTTTTGACAACACTGTGTGTGCCTGGTGTGCGCCGGATATGGAGCGACAGAGAGAGGGAGAGAGAAAGATAAAGAGAGAGGGGCGAGAGAAAGAGAGAGAGAAAACACAAAGGAAACCGTCGTGAACGGCGGGCGCGCATGACGACCGCGGGCTCGCTCGCTCGCTCACTCGCTCACTCGCACACACGCTCGCTCGTAACACGTCCGAGCGAGATCCTTGGCTGAAGCGATGAGGACGGTTCTGACGCACGCACCAACTGACCGAACCAACGACAACACCACGACTCGCGAACAGATCGAGGAAGGAAGAAAAGATGAAACAAGCGAGAACTGCGTGCACGAGAAAGGAGAGGGAGCGAGAGAAAGGGAAGCAAATCGTATATGAGAGAAGGACAGGGGAAATGGACGGAACAAGCGAGCGAATGAAAGAGGGAGAGAGAGAGAGAAAGAGAGAAAAAAATTAGAGACTCTGAGATCTCGTTCTCGAAGATTCGAGAACGTAGCAAGCTCGAGATCCCGGTGAACGTTTACCTCGCCCTCGACGTGTGGTCGCTTCTCGACGACGAGGATCGTTCCGCCGTCGATCAACCTTTTTCTCCTGTCTCGACGTTGCACTCACGTTGCTCTCCGTTTCACTCTTCCTCACACGTCTTCTTCCTTCACACGGTCATTTCGTTAAAACTAAGGCTTAAAATACACTATTCACAGGTATGTACAGCCACGCGAGCCACAGACACACGACGTGCGTCCACCGGCGTACGCGTGTTTCGCGCGCAAGGATGCTGCGTGCGCGATTTTCGTAGTGGGAGGCGTCGGCGCGACGGAATAACGAGGAGGGGAGAGGGAAAAGGAAGACGGACGGCTATCTATGTGTCATATTGTCTCGCTTTAGCCTCGTAATAACGTGCTCGTATAGTCGTATGTACCGCGTCTCCTATGCGGGCCCTTCCCCTCCCTGGTCCCTCTTTACTCCCTCGCTAATTTAGAGTGAAGAATTGAGATTCTTCTTCGCGTTCGATATCTCCTTTTGCTTCGGTTTACCTCGATTAAACGTCTCGCATTTGCGTCGACATAATGCATCAAACTTGTTGAGATAAATCAAGATAAAATCGCGTCGTGCTTGGCTTCCCTTCGTGGCCGTGATGAAAATTCAATTTTTATGCTACTGAAATGCGACCGAGCGACGAACCGTACAGCGCCACCTGTCGTCGTGCGTCCGTCATTATTTTATTCCGATTGTTGGCGTGGCGGGGCGGGACGGGGGAAGAAAATGGCCGCACGCGCGCGAAATTTTTGAACGTCGATTTTGTGACGTTGATCATATTCGACTATAAATGATCCAGATGTTGGTCGACTATTCAATAATCGGTTTTTATTTTAAGACCATCTTAAGCAGTGCTTTAAGATACTAATATGGCTTTATAATCGATTTATGATATCTTAGGCGATATTTATATTATAGTTGATTCTTATATATTTGAGGCCGCCTTAAGTATCTTAAGATAGTCAATCTCGTAAGCCAATAAGAAGGCTATATTAGCATTTTAAGACGATCTTAAAATAAGAACTGACTATAAATACCGATCTTAGTCCCGAAACACAATAGATATATAGGGTGCTTTCCATTTGATAACAAATCGATACAAATATCATTTTATCTTGTTACTCATCGAATGTTAAGAAAGGTAAAATAATATTTGAAAAGCACTTATAAGTCTTAAAAAAATTCCAATCATAGTCGATTATTCTTCTCATATTCGACTGTGATTAATCAATTTCTTAAAATTTAAATACTTACTACATTTATTGTGTACAGGACATGACATCAAGATGTTATTCAAGATCAGTTATTTTTGATCCATAAAAAAATGCAGCTTTGTAGAAATACATAAATTACTATATGTACACTATAAATATCTAAATATTATTATTATTTATTACTATATTAATATATTATAGTTAATATCATTATTGAATTGTATTATTCTGTTTATTACTTATTTATCATAGTTATTATTAATTACTAAGTATTATGTTGTACTAATAAATAAAACAATAAATAATCAATTACTATATTACAATAATAAATAATTCATTACATATTATACATATAAATTGATATACCTATGAAACATTGTGCGCCAACTATTACAATGCAATTCGATAAGAAAATGGTATGAAATGTAAAAAAACTTGTCAATCGACACTCGAAGCGAAATCACTGAACTCATGATTCTGGCGCTCGTGTAACGCAATATTTGATGTGTTATTACGACAAACCTCGAGTCGACTTTCCCAGACGACATTTTACGACGAAATAATTTTTCGCGCGTGGGAAGATTCACTTTTAGACGACAGCAATCGCGTGAAAAGTAGAGGAGCGACTCTGGCTGGTATTCATAATCGGTTCTTATTTTAAGATTGTCTAAGGTTAATACGATTCTCTGATTGGTTCGTGATTTCTAAAAATTGTACTTAAGATCGTCTTAAATATAAAACTATGAATTCCACTCTTTGCGATGCGTTTGGGTGCGTTTTTCGTAACCGACGCGACTCAATAATTGTTTGTTGAGAAACGACATTGCGAGTCTCGAAGTATCGAAACCATCAAACAATATTAACGCCAACTTCATGCAACGGTTCTGTTCAATACGGAAACGAAATTTCGAAATATCTCAATACAAAAAAAGATTATTATAATAAAATATTATAACAAAATAATAAATTAATTGTTACAATTTGTATGATTTTTTTTGTATGGAATGCATTGAATAATATTGAAACGTTGGAGCATTGATATTAATATTGATCGAGAGATTTCGTAATTAATTCATACGTGGAAATGCGTATAATACTATAATATGTCATATCATAAATATTAAATATGCATGTATTAAAAAACATATCATTTTTCATACTTCTTGTCATATTAAAAAAGTTTTTTCAAGGAAAAAAGAATAAATTGTGAAATTTATGTTTCATTATGAATTAAGTACTCAGATAATATGACAAAATGTGTTAACATTGACATGAAATGATCTTTAATGAGCATAAATGCCTGTATTTGATCACTGAATTCGTTCTATTCGTTCTATTCATTATACTCATGTTGCTCACGTGAAATGTTAAGGACTTCGCTTTATAAATTTATTATAAGCTTTATAAATATATAAATGATATTTATATACATAATTATTATATCTTTGTTTTATACCTAAACATGAAGATAGAATGACACAAATAGCGCTAATATGTCTCACCGAATGCACCTTATACTTAGAGAATTTTTGCAATGTCGTTTATCCAGATACGGTGAACGCTAAGGTCACACATTATCTTTTTCTTAACAACTAATTAAGAAAAGAATAACGTGATTTTAGTATTTCACCGTATCTGGATCCATATTCATTGCAAAAATTTTCTATTATTATACAATACATATTTAATGCAAATTCTTTCACAATTTAGAAAAAACTTTTGTATTTATCTTTATCTATTAAAGGATGTAGATCGAATGTTATTGATCTTTATTTAAATGTGAATAATAAAAAACAGAATTTGTTATTAGTCACATGAATATAAAAGAAATGAATGAAGGATTAAATTAGGAATTAGGAATGTACAGCCAGAAATGTTGCAATTCCACCTGTTCGAATTAATCAATTCGAATTAATCATCTGCCAAGTAAATCGGAGTTTTAGCCAAATTAAATTACCCTGGCGTTGAACACACGGTAGCCAGCCCTCCCTAACCCGACTTGTCAAGCATCAGAGTAGCGCGGCAATGGAAGGGAATCAAGTCAAGAATAAGTGGCACAGCGGACTGGACATCTCTATTCGTGCGTTCACAATCACGCAATAGTAGCGGACAGATGATAGATAATCGCCATACCGTCTTTCATAAGTCAGCGAGTCGCGCGGCGAGCGGTCGACACCGACACGTAAGCGTGAAAAAGTGGTTGGACCGGATCGCACGAGGAGGCCGGAGATCGAAACCGGTAATTGATATCCCACTTCCCAGTTTCCCACTTGAAGTCTCCCGAGACTCGAGGAGACTTGGATGACGTTGGCGCGCGCGCGGCGACGATGCCGAGCGTCTTCGAACGATCGGCGTGAGATCTTTGAATCTCTCTCGCGTACCTGCGCCATCGAAGATCGTCACTCGTGACGATCTCGCCGTCTTGGTTAACTCTCCGATCTTACACGCATCCGATCTCGCAACGGTACACGTTACGCACTTCTATATATTTTCTCCGCGCAGTGTCTCTCGTATAATAATCGCCAATCATTTATTTTACTGTTTACGTTATTCGCTTGCGTGCTCGTCACACCGGACACGAAAAGATCGAAAGGCAGTGATGCAGAGGTTGGAACGATCCAGAGATTGGCACGAAGCGATTGCATGTAACGGAAGTAATTAACGCTGATCCGCTCCGTTGGCTCGTTTGTGTCTCGAAATCAGCTCGCGTTAGTCATCAATTTTTTTACCTCGCGACGATTTTTGGTATAGTGATAGTTTCAGTGAGACACCGTGCGAACGAAAAACTATTACGTCATGATTGAGATCTCCGAAATGTCAAGAAATCGTTTTCTTCATTGAATGACACTCGTGTAATTATTTATTTCCGTAGGAAGTGATTCGTGTTTAGATTTTATAAGTTGTATGTCATTCGAGAACACTGAAGTTACTTGGACTGCTTTCTTTTTAGGAGACAGTCGACATAAGTGCTGTTCTGCCTCTTATTCATTGAATGTCAGGAAGAATAGAAAGACGTTTGTGTTGATTGCCTTTTAAAAAGAAAGTAGCCTTAGAGTAAAGACTGTTGGTACTTTCTAACAAGAGATACAAAGCCAGTTCTTTTTCCAAGTCCTAAACTTCTTGCACAGTTCATCTTTCTTCTTTTTACATTAAGAAGAAAAAGGCAAAAGATAAAAACTGTATAAGAAGTTCAGTCCTGGAATATGGAAAAATAATAAGTCTACATGATGTTATAATAACAGGTGTAACATGATGATCGTTTCACTTCTGTTTAACATTGGCAAACAATTGGATGTAATAATTCACTGTTGTATTGTATTATACTGTCAACTACATTTCTTGTTGAAAAATATTCTGTACAAAATTTAAATACGTAAGTAAAATATCTTCATGTACAATAAACTTTGACATTATCTATTATATTTACAGATTTCGTAATGTGACACATCGCAGATAGAAACAATCTGTTCAAAATGGCAGCAATTTGTTCTGGACGACCTGGCTGGTTAGGAAAACTTGGCATAGCGTTGCTAGCCGCATGGTTTTTAGTACTGATTATATCCATGATACATATATTTAAATCCAACTCATTGTCAAGCCGCGATGCTGACACTGCCAACAAAGAAAATACACAACGCTTAGCACAAATGGTTAACGACTTTGAAATTCTAAAGAAGCAGAATGACGCGTTAAAAAACTTTATATTAGGGTACGTTTGCGAACAACATATTGCATATATGAAAAATTCAGCGATGCTGAAAATGCGACATTTGAGACATAGAGTACTGCGTTCTTTTTATTGTATAGGCTAACATAATTTCCAGAGAAGGGTCGAAATCTATACAAGGGGATCATTTAGGCTCCGTACAAGACAGACTCGAAAAAGCATCGGTCTATTATGATCTAATAGATC